TCTGTCCTTTCATCTGTGAGTCTGCTTGGAAATACAATGGATCCTTCTGTTCTTGGGCTGCCTGCTGTAAGCGACACCACCCATGGACACTGAGTGAGATGTGGAGAGTGCAGTTGGGGAGCGTTGACTTGGCCATTTCTTCCAATGGCGTTCTCAAGATAATTGTCAGTTCGTCCTGGAACACTCCACACACCAGTGCATGAGGGGACTTCAGAAAATTCACAGAGACTGATGTTCATGTGTTCCATTATGCCATTGCACTAATTGGTTTCCAGCGTCTTCAATTTTTGTCATTTTTATTTCTTCTGCACAGAGAATGATCAATAGTTGCACCTTAAATGACCACTCATGAACTTTTAAGATCCCAGTCACTACTCACCACAGTAGGATATAGAAGATTATCTGCCGGCACTCTGAGACCAGAAGAATTAGATGGTGCCCTTCTACCAATAACAAGTGCTCTGAAAGGCATCACAATCAAAGGTCCAGATAGAGAGGGAGACAATGTGGAACAAAACAAGATTATTTATAAAAAAAAAAAAGGCCAGGCTTCTTTGTCAGAAAGAGGCTGGAGGGACCCAAGACTATGGTCCTCAGTGACCCTTAAGGTCTGGAATGAAATCCACCCTTGTGCCCCTATTTTCACCCAAGAGGTAGATAGGTCTATAGTGGGAACAACATCACTAGTAAGATTCCTCCCCATGGAAAGGTCAACCATTCAAGATCAAAAGGACAACCTTTACCTAAGAACAGAGTTGAGAAGTATTGGGAAGGAGGGTGGAAGGGAACAAGGAACCACAGGGAGGGAGTGGGTAACTGTTGTTACATGGAGGGGACTGCATTCGTTGAGATGAAACGGGGTGTACAGTTTATTGAATATAAAACTGATGGTCTGCTCTGTAAACCTTCACTCAATTCCCAATAAAAAGTTTTAACAAAAGGTTCTTGGAGACATGGAATGCAAAGAGTAAGGAATCCCTCTATCCTGTTCCTTACCAAAATCCCACCACTTTGAAGCAGACCCTCACCCTGTCATACAGGGTTGTCTTAACTGGAGTCATTTTGGAAGCAGATCTTCAAGCCTTTCTTCCATGGGCCACTTGTTGAATTTGAACCACCAACCTTTAGGTCAATAGATGAATACAAGCCACCCAGGGCCCTGGGCCTTTCCATAGCTGCTCTCATTTTTAGCATTTTATTGTGGTGTGTGTGAAAGTTTACAGAGCAAGCAGGTTTTCCATCCTACAGCCCAGGCGCGTTTTGTTTCTTGCATTTGGTTGGAATTCCCTCACTGTAGCGCCGCTCTTCCCGCTACCTCCCTGTGTTCCCCACTTCCATTCCCCCATCTGTTCCCAGCCCTTCCTGCCTTCTGAACTTTATCCCTGGGAATGTGCTGCCCTACAGGTCTCCTGCGTCAATGGTTGGAAGAAGTGTGTTCCTTAGCATTACATTGTCCACTTTATGCACCTGCCTGTGTTGGCTGAAAGGTGATCCCCAGACGTGTGTTCACTTCCATGTTTGAAGGATGTTCAACTTCAACTCCGTGTGGTTCACCAGTGGCCCAGTCCTAGAAGTTTGGTCTTCTCCGTGCTTTTGGATGGTGTTCCGCACTTTTCTCCCTCTCTGTCCTGGACCTTCTACTGTGATCCCGATCAGAGCTGTGGGCAGCAGTAATTCTTGATGTGAATGTTTAGAGAAGCAGAGTGACTGACTAGTCCAGGTTCTTAGGAATCTTCTTCCAACAGGAGAGCAGGTGTCTCCCCCTGACTTCCACATGGACTTTGATTCTGCTGTCTGTCTGTCTGTCTGGTCTACGCATTCACACGGGTGCCACATGACATTCCCACCTCTTCCAAACCCTACAGGACCCCTTCCTTGACCTCTTATTTAACATCATGCTTCTCTAACTCAGAGTCTGACTTCCTATGGATGGATGCCCCATAATTCTGTGATGGTTTTCTCGGGCTGCTATAAAAGAGATCCCACAAGGAGTTGACTTGAACAAACCGAACTGTATTTTCCCTCAGTTTGTCATCATCACTTATTGTCAAGTTGATCTGACTCATAACAACTTGTAGAATGACCTCATAGCATTTCTTCCGCTGCCGTCTTCATGGCAATGTTGTGGTTAGGTGTCGTCAAGTCTCTTCCGATTCCTAGTGACCTTACGCACAACGTAATGAAACACTGGGCTGTAAACACTGACTTTTCCATTGCCAGCTGAGCGTGTGGACCCCTGGTGCAGCACTGTAGAATCAGCACTGGACTGTGAACCACAAGGTTGGCAGTTCAAACTCACCAGCTACTCCCCGTAAACCCTATCCAGGGTTGTTGTGAGTCGGAATCAAGTCGGGGGCACCTGACAACAGCAGCAACTGGGTGTCATTTCACACGGAGCCACCAGGGTCCCTGTCCCACAGTGCAGGAAACCTGAAGGCAGAGTTCAGGAAGGCTTTTGCTTTCTCACTCGGAAGCTCCTTGTCTCTTTTTCAGCTTCTCTTTCTTCACATGGGTGTATCTTCCCCTCGGTTTGTGTGTCCTTCTTTGCATTCAAGTTGTTCCTTTTGTCTCAAAGTCATTGTTTAAAGACACACCACCCTACCCTGATATGGCCCATGAATGTAGCAAAGAAACTTAGCCCAAATGGAAGCACAGCTACAGGAACGGTAGTGGTGTTGTTATGAGCTGTCAAGTTGGGTCTGACCCACAGCGGCCCTGTGTAGGGTTTCTGAGGATCGGCTGATGGGTTTAAACCATCGATGGCACACTTCCAACAGACCTCGCGGTCCTGTGCTCATCTTACAGCCCCGCACTACACCAGGTAGTCAGAGGAGGAGGAGGAAAGTACCATGCAGTGAGGATTTACAAAACAAATTTTTGGAGGATACAGTTCAATCCATAACATTCCATCCACTGGCCCCCTGAATTCATGTTCTTTACATGCAGGACACATTTACCCCATTGTTGTTGTTGTTGTTGTTGTGTGCCATCGAGTCAGTTCCCACCCATAGCGACCCTGCACAGGGTTTCTGAGGCTATAAATCTTTACGGGAGCAGAAAGCCTCATCTTTCTCCTCTAGAATTGCTGGTAGTTTTGAACTGCTGATCCTGCGGTTCGTAGCCCAGTTCGTAACCACTGTGCTACCAGAGCTCCAGTACATCATCCCCAAAAATCTTAAATCAATTCCAAGACTAAAATCATACGTTCTGAGTCGTCTAAATTGAGTATGGGTGGTCCTTGGAGCAGATTTCCACCTTGGGACAAAATTCCTTTCCAGCTTTGGAAAGCCTTCTGGTCAGACTTGGCTTCATTGCTTCCTCTTTCTCCTGGCCTCCCTATCTCGAGGCTCTGCCCCTTCCTCAAACATCATTCTCACTGGGTTCAGGACCACCAAAGAGATGACCCACCATCCCCACAATGCTCTAACTCTGAAGGTGCTCTTGAGACCTCCTCCTCCTTCCTTGTCATCGTCGCCTTATTATTCTTATTCTCTGTGAATTGGGTGGAAGTTTCCAGAGTGCATTGTTTCTCCCGTTCCTACACATTCGATTCTTGTCCTCGGCTGCAGTCCTTGCATTGTGACAGCGCTCTTCCCACTTCCTCCCCACGTTGGCTGTTTCCATTCACCGTGTGGGGACCTTCTTGTCGCCTCACGAAGTTCAAGCTCTTCCTCTGTGGTCCAGAGGACCACATCTTGTTGCCTGTCACCTCTGCCTTCTCTTCTCCTCAGTCCTGTTTCTTCCACCACTTCTCCCATCTCTACCTCCCACCCATTTCCAAAATACCCACGGACACTCAACACAGCTGACCTTCAGTGCGGCATCACTGTTAACGTTCCATTCTTGTCCCTGCTCCTACCCCTTTCCCACTTGGTCGGAAGGTCTCCTGACTTGATGGGAAGCAGATGACTTGGGATCAGCACTTGTCAGGAAATTACCCCCTTCCCCAGATTCCTTTTGCCCCTATAGGGCCACCCTTCTGCCCCGTAGCCCTTGTGTCCATCTGTACCTGTCTATCTTAGACCATGGCCCCTGCAACCAGGGAGGGCTCTTGGCCTTGTGCTTTGTGTTCTGAACCTGAACATTGGTTGGCAGTGGTGGCATTGAAGGGGACAATAACAGTCTTCTGTGGCTGTAGTCTCCAGAAGCTACATTTGTGCTTACTGGAGAGACCGTTGGCTCTGCATGGTCCTCTCAACTCACCAGGTTGGGCACACTCCTTGCTGCTCTTCTGGTTCATGGTCCTTCCCTTCGGCGATCCTTGTATTACCAGAGATTGAAGGCAAATGTCACTCTCCACATGGAAAAGGAGGCCTTGGGTGTCTATTTGAACTTGGCAGTGTGGATATCTGTGTCAATGTCTAGAAGTGTGTTTCATTGCTGAAAACGAGGGCGAATATTTGTAAACAGAAAATTGGTTGTTTTTTGGTAACTCAAGTTCTTAAATCAAGGGTTTTTTGACAGCTTTCTGAGAGCCTACATAGATAGCAGTGCAGATGTCTGCATATTCCAAATACTCAACACGAAAACTCCTGCTTTCACTTGGGACTTACGCCAACAGGACTGTCGGGTCGGTTTGATTCACAGAAGACAAATGGACCCAATCCTGCTGATTTTGTATGCGGCGCCCCCTGTAGTCTGTCAGTGCACATGTTTGCAAGCCCCAACCTCTCCAGGGATGTTTCTGTATGCCCCCTGGGTTTGGGTGTCTGTCTATTGAAGGGTTCTGTTTTGTTTGTTTCTCCTAATTGGCTGCCCAGGAAGATCCATCCTGCGTTGTGAGTTTAGCATTTTCCTCATTATCTTCGTGCATCCCACTGTCTGTTCCCCGCGCATGGGCAGTACCACACCTGCCTCCTTTCCTGAGCCACCACTGGACCACCACCCCCTCCCCATGGAGCATGCCCATGTGTTCAGCATCTGTGAGGCCTTGGGACGGGAAGTCCCTGACCTCAGAATCCACTAACGGTTTCCATTTACTCTTTATTTCTTCATCACAGATACTGCAATGAACACTTGCTGTGCCCTCCACATGTGTTCTGGACAGGCTGGGGGCCTTGGGAACGGTGCACGGCCCAGTGTGGGGGCGGCATTCAAGCTCGCCGCAGGACCTGTGAGAATGGGCCAGACTGTGCAGGTTGTAACGTGGTGAGTAGGCGCTTCTCGGCCCCAGCACAGTGCAGAGCTGCGATTTCTCAGTCAGCTCAGCACACACTAGGTGCTCTGCAAACACCAGGAGCACATACTAGGTGCTCTTCACAAGCTAGAATCTCTGCACAATGGTATCTGTACACACTAGGTGCACTGCCCAAACATGCACACAGGCTACATACTCTAGCTACTGGCCACATACTAGGTGCGCTGCACATACCACGTGCTCTGCAGACAACACTTGCACACACTACATTGTCTGCACAAACAACCTGTGTACACATTAGGGGCTCTGCAAGCAACACATGCACGCAGAGGATTCTTCTACAGACAGTAGGTACTGTGTACACATCAGCCACTCTGCAGACACATGTACACACAATAGGGGCTCTGCAGACACATGTACACATGGGCGCTCTGCAGATGCATGTGCATGCATTAGGGGCTCTGCAAATACATGTATGCACACTAGGAGCTCTGCAGATGCATGTACACACACTGAGGGTTCTGCACATGTATGTACACACACTAGGGGCTCTGCAGATGCGTGTACACACACTAGGGGCTCTGCACACTTATGTACACACACTAGGAGCTCTGCAGATGCATGTACACACAGTAGGGGCTCTGCACACTTACTTACACACAGTAGGGGCTCTGCAGACACATGTATGCACACTAGGGGCTCTGCACACATGTGTACACACACTAGGGGCTCTGCAGACACGTGTATACACACTAGGGGCTCTGCAAACATATATACACACACTAGGAGCTCTGAAGACACGTGTATACACACTAGGGGCTCTGCAAACATATGTACACACACTAGGAGCTCTGAAGACACTAGGAGCTCTGAAGACACGTGTATACACACTAGGGGCTCTGCAAACATACGTGCACACACTGGGTGCTCTACATGCACTTGATAGTCTGAAAATATCCGAAGTGTTTCAGTTCCGTAGGGCTGTGATGACGAGAGTGCACATGTCCTCCCTCAACAGAGAAGCCACAACAATTCCCATTCTCACAGCGCTGTAGACAGGATGTGGGAATCCGGGCCCAGCCTCGGTCGTCAGGCTCCCTGTGTGTGCTTGGGGGGATGGTCTTTGTCTGTTGTCAGCGTCTGGTCCTCGAGTCCTTGGGGACCTGCATGCGACCATCCTCAGTGGCTGCAGCTGCCCTGCCAGCCCAGCTCTTACAGGGTTGCCTTCTCTGTTAGCATCCAGGCTGTTTGCACGTCATGTGGTTTGATGTGACTGAGTCCGTGCTGACTCGTGGCGGCCCCCTGACAGCTGAGCTCCGTAGGTATTCCAGGCTGCGACCCTTCAGAAACAGGGTCATTAGTCTTGTCTTCTGAGACCTCCCGGGTGGCTTCAAACCACCAACCTTCCGTCTGCTAGTCAAGTGTGTGATGACTGTTTACACCACCCAGGGATCAACCACATTCAATTCGGGTTTTCAGTTAACAGAGATGGGGCGGGGGAAGTGTCGTGGAATGGTTTACAAGCATACCGATTCAGCTCGAGGCTGGAGAAAGGCACCTGATCACAGTTTAATTGTCATCTGCTTTGACTTTTGACAGGCGCGTTTCCTCTTGCAGAAGTGGCATCAATGTTTAATTATAGCAACAATCTCGTTTAATTTGTGTTTTGCTTAAGATTTGCCATCCCAATTTTTTTGTATTATTTCATCTGCATGCTTTCCATGGTATAACTGAATATGTGTAATGTCAGATGGTGAAACAATTCACATACATAATCATTTTCAAAGGGACTTGTAATTAACTAAAGAAGGCACAACAGATGCAGGAGCTGGAAAAAATGGCTCCAGCACTGAATATTTTTCACAGATGTTACAGTTCCTCTCTTCTCTTGTACTGCCCTATCCCGTTAGCCAGGTGCCCTCAAGTCAACTCTGACTCATGGTGCCCCGTGTGTGTCAGAGTAGAACTGTGCCCACAGGGTTCTCAGTGGATGAGTTTTCATAAGTAGATCCCACTCATGGTGCCTTGTGTGTCAGAGTAGAACTGTGATCCACAGGGTTCTCAGTGGATGATATTTCATAAGTAGATCCCGCTCATGGTGTCCCCTGTGTGTCAGAGTAGAACTGTGCTCCACAGGGTTCTCA